AGAAGAGGAGGTGGCGGGAAAAGCAAGTATGCACAAAGAATTAAGTGCAACGACCGTACGCGGTGCAACGTGCCGCTTCGTTCTCGCGAATGATACGACACTTGGCACGAGTGTAAAAATTATTTACGAGTATACGAGTCAAATTAAATTTACATTACACGAAAATATTAAGATTCGAGATGCATCGCATCAAACGACGTGAAGAGAACAAAGAATTGCGTGCTCGGTTCTCTTATTCTGGTGAGGGAGAGAACTCATCCCGACGATTATAGAACATACATACACCGACACAATGATACGCTCGCGACTATAAACGTCAGTATACCGTTAAAATAACTTGCATGAGAGAGGCAACACCATCGTCGGTCGACATGGTATACTCCCGTAGCAACTAACTGACCCAAATACAGACCGCCCATTGTCAAAGAATCCGAGCAATTACGAAAGAATGCGTTGTTAACATGTGTAATTGTGTCGTGACAAGATTTTTCATCAACGCATTTTCGTTTCATGCGACAATCTGGAGAGTAAGTATACTCTATCTCTTTTTAACGCTGCAAAATACCGAGCAGTGTTTAACAAAATTTCTTCTGTAGAGATCGTTTTTTAAAAAACATTTTTACGCAATGTTTAAATAATTTAAAAGATATCTTCGGATTGTCCGACAGAGCAATTGCCGAGACAAGACACGGATGCCGAATTTGATGAAGAAAAGAATTTTAACGAGACGTTCTAAAGAAATATATAAATAAATAAGAAATATTCTTCAGTTAATTCTAGATAAATTTTAATAAAATATTATCTTGAGAGATAAGATACTTTATTCCAAAATTTTAAGAAAGAGAAAGATAAACTTTTGAAATTATTTCTATTACCAACAAAAAAAATATCTTCATCAAATATTCTGTACAATCTTTGAGATACATAAGTATCCCTCTGATAATACGCGATTCTTATAACTAGAGAAATCTTATGGAAAATATCGAAATAAAACTTGATACGCTTATATATTACTTTCTAACTATTATCAACAAAAAATATCGCTCTCCACCTGATTGAATTCGTTCATCGTCAAATACCCTGTAAAAGCTTTGAGATACGTAGGTATCCTTCCGATAACACGCGATTCTCTTAACTTTAGAAAATTCTTATGGCAGATATGGAAATATAAAACTTGACACGCGTATGTATTAGAAAGTTACTTTCTAACTATTCGCTGATAATCGGATTCATTGCGAATAGATTCATCCAGAAATAGGATGGATTAAGTAATATCGTATGCGAGTGCGCGACTTGATCGTACGCATACGAGGGAAATTGCGGCGCGCCTTAAACTGCAGCATTAAACGAAGGGGGAGTAGGTGTGCCGACGACAACGTTTCGACGGTCACGGTCCGCGGGGAACGGCCGTCTCTTTGGACTTTCTCGGCGGAGCGCGGCCTGGACGGGAGCAGAAGCGGTGGGATATAATCGTGGCCTCCACCACGAGCGAGGAAACGGCGCTTTGGCACGGTTCATTGACAGGGAAGTCGCATCGCGCGGATTTCGAGCTGAGATCGAGATCGACGTGCGTTTATTATTATGTTCGAATCACGCGCTTCGCAGCTGACTGCCGAGATCCTGTTAATCCTATTCAACGTATCCGCGCATGTTGACATCAGATTATCGATGTTGATAAATCTCTAGGACTTGTGAGCGTCTTTTTAAAACATATTTCTCTCTTTTTCCAATATAATATATCTATATATTTCTGATATATCTATATCGATTAATAGAGACATATTAATTATGAGAAAAAGAAAAATATATATATAAACAGTATATATATAATTATCGGATAGGTAAAAACGATGCATGTGTGTGTTTCAATTTGCTTCATTCAATTTTTCTCAGCTTTTTATTAATTCGATCAAATATTATAATTATTATCAAACGAGATCCAGAAGTGTCTACTCGTCGTTTGAAAGATGTGCGATCGAGCATTCTCTCATGAATCCCTCGTTAATCGTATCCTGATTATAATTAATTCATTTTCATGTGGTAGGCGTGTCCAAATAAATAAGTAGACTAACGACAAACATCTTGCGCATCCGTTATGAGAGTTTGCCGCTGCTTTGCCTTCTCACGCTGTGCATGGAAAATCGACGCGCGTAAATCGCCGCTCCTTCCGTCATCCCCGACAGAGATTCTGTTCGGTACAGGAGAGCGGAGGATTGCGCAACAGGTTACACGGTTCATCGACGGCAAAACGATCTCCGAACGATCGTGATCGTCGATCCTTTCGATCTTGACGAAATCTTCGATTTCAGCCAACTCGACCGTATCGTCATTCGAGGAGACATTGAATTTAGCTGCCACTATCTTGTATATCTTCGAATAAAATCGATTCTTTTATATGTGTATGTGTGTGAGTGTAAGTCGTGCGCTTAAAATATCAAACTGTTTTATCTTAAAATATTGAATTTTCATCACGCGACTGTTTGGGAATCGAGATATTTCGCGCCATCAAGGACGACAATTACGTTTAACGGAGAGACCCTCTAATTGAAGCAAGGTGTTATATACGGATCGAAAAAATACTTGGAAGATTGATGGCGATAAATATTTTTGTCGTTATAAATTTGCCGTTATCTCGACACGATAAATTATATTTCGCACGTGGCTCGTCTTTTAATGTCCCGCGTTTAAAGTTACCCGCGGTAAATACCTGTTACGAATGAACAATAATAGTGCATATATCTCGAGACTTTCTTTTTTTCTGCGTGATATTTAGCATCAAACTGTAAACGAAACTCGTTAAGTCTGTCGTTGATGAAAATGAGTCACGACTTACAGTTAACTCTGGGCAAATGATAAATTTATCACCGGGCACACAATCGTCTAATGTGGGTTACTGGATTAATTTACCGGAATAATTAAAAAGAAACCAGTTAAGCGCATGTGATATTTTCTATCGAATACTAGTAGTTTTAATATTGTTTCAATCGATTATTTAAAATTTAATTAAAAAGATGGATCAGCTACATCAAAAGTTAATAAATCTAATACATTTCGAGATTCATGAATTTAACGTTATGCACGCACACAGAGCACTTTTAGTCTTTTAAAATATAAAATTAATAATTAAAGTAAAAATTTATTCTGTATATTATTATGTAATATAATTCATATATTATTATGTAATATAATTCAATATATTATATAATACAATTCAATCTCAAAATCGTAAATATTATCTTATATCGAACTAATTTTTTTATAGTAACTGTACCACGATTTTAATTGTACAAAAATTCATGAAAATAAAAATTTTAATTCTACAGAGCAATCTTTACTTTAACTAATAAATTAATTATTAATTTTATATTTTAAAAAGCTAAAAGGATGTTTTTTGCACGATGTCATATTCATGAATCTCGAAATGTATTAGATTTATTAACTTTTGATGTAATTGATTCGTCGAGTTCTTTCTTAAGCGTTGATCAAACAAAACATTAAAAGAGGCAAAACAATAGTTGATAATATATGTGCATGTGTGTTATTGGTACAATATGATTGAAAAATTTTTTTTGAAATTGGATGTCCTGATATATTGTGGACAGGCAAATTCTGCAACTGAAATCTACAACAACATCGGTGACGTGCGTCAAGGATTTTTACAGAAAATATAAAAAAACAATTTTTTTTTATTATACGTTAACAAAACAATTTTTTCCATTATACGTTTCTATAGCTTGCGCGTCAACGCTAATCTTTTATATCAATATTTTTTTTTCATATTTGTTGATAAAATAAATTCTACACACACATATACACAAATATTTTCCTATTTCTGTATTTTAAACGTTTGGTCAATCATTTTTCATCAAATAGTAGATAAAATCGCTCTTTCACGTATAAATGTGACAAAATATTTGTAATATTTAACGAACAACGAATAATAACACCGATCAATTCTATATATGTATAGCTCTGCAAAAGTACCGATCGCACGAAAAGCGTGAAAGAATTGTCAAGAGTTTCTAATGTGGCAACGTGGTTTAACCGATGGACGAGGAGGGCTTCAAGGTTTAAAGATAATTTTCTGGTTAAATTTTTTCAAACGCCTAATTCGCAAAGTGTATCGACCGATTGCGCAAACGAAGAGTCAAAGCGCGAGTAGTGTCAAGCTTGGACGAGCAGCAAGTAACACGCACAAACAACCGCGTCGTTAACTCCGTTCTCGTTTCCGGCGAGTGTGGCAAGAGATGCGAATGTCCAGAAAGAAGAAGTCCGAACGAAACGAGAAATTCAGCCAGCCATAAAGATTGAATTTCTTACGCATTAAAAAAAAAGATATTAAAATCATCGGAGTATATTTATTTTTAACTATACGATACGTATTCATCGTAATAACTATTTTTATTTATTTTTTAACAAGCATCTCAGAAGCATATTCTCTATACATACATCATATGTTTTTCTATTGTTCAGGATATCCTGTAATATGTAAGAGCTACTTTAGTAATGGATTTAACATTTAAAAAGAATAAAAAAGTTTATAAACATACATCTGATCTTATATCTGTTATCTTCTTATTTTCTAAACAAGATCATCTAAAATATTTCAATTTTCTATAAAAGAAAGCATTTTGACAATATTAAAATATTGTTTTTAAATTCTATCAAAGATATTTATATATATATTTTGTGAGCAAATACTGATTGCTAAAATATAAAACTTGTTAACTCGGAAATAAGGTCAAATCATATGTTCATACAATTTTTTAAATTATTTTTAGGTGTTAAATCCATTCTTAAAATGAAGCCCACATATTACGCCACATTCATATATTGTTTACTATCATCATTGCAATTTTACATTTCACTTCTCTCTAACAAAGAAATGATCTGGCGAGTTATTTATTCCCAGCAAAATTGTCCATCTAAATCATAAATATCTTTCTATATCCTACATCCCAACCGAAATCATTTTCTTGACTACAAAATCATGCACTGACCTTCTCGAAGTGGTGCGTTGCGGAGTGGTCGCCGTGCTGGAGGCTGGACTGGTGGAAGCGCCGCTGGAGCAGGTCGTGTTACCGGACGCGGTGATGTCGCTTGTCGTGGTCGTGGATCCGAGGCTGCCCTGCCTCGAGGAGGCCGCTTCCCGATTTCGCGCGCCCCGCGACCTGCCGCCGCCGGTGAATTGCCGGCCGGTTCGACGCGGCGTCGCGACACCGGCGGCGGCGGTGGCCGCGTTTCTCGCGGGCGCGCTCGAGGGTCGCAGCAGCGTGCCGGAAGTACCGCCGTTGGTCTGCGCCGCGAGGATCTCCGGCGCGATCAGCGCGATGTCCGGCAGCGAATTCGGCGCCGAGACGGACGCGGCGCGCCGATTGGCCGGCTCGCCGGCACCGCGTTGCGTACCCTCAGGTAGCCGCAGATGACGCAGGCGCCGCATAGATGCGCGCATCCACGAGTTTGCGGTAGCGGCGATGGAGCCGGCGACGGGAATGGTGGTGGTGGTGGTGGTCGTCGTCGTCGTGCCGTAGCGATTTTCGCGATCGACCGCCTCGTTTGTAGCGTTGCAGCGCGCGGCTTCGTCATCATTGTCGTCGTCGTCGTCGTTGTTATTATTGACATTACGATGTCGGCGATGTTGACCGCTGCGACGACCGACATTGTTGTTATTATTTTGACAATCGAGGAGAAGCGCGCCAACGGGGGATGGCCACCGCGAGCCACCGACTGCTAGGGACTTTGCCGTCGCGGTGACGGACATCGCGGCACTGCGGGTTGCCGCCGTCTCGCGACGATCGCAGGCGCGCCTGCGCCCCGCGCTTTCATCGGTGGGGGAAGAAGCGTCTCCCCCCTGTTCGCCGTCACGTTCACCGCCGGTGGCGAGAGACTCCGCGGCCCGCAGGCATTCTACTTCCTCGAGCCAGGACCAATCCACTTCAGAACCTTCGGAGCAGCCGTCCTCGACGCTGGTCGCCGATTCCGCTTCCGGCGGCTGTCTGCGAGCATAAAAAAATGCGGGCTTAATCTTGGTCGGGTTTGCATAATGCGGGTCTGCGCTCCAATGACCGTAGAATGTTAACCGGAACGTTGAGGAGAGAGCGTTCCTCCTTTTTTTTTTACAGATATTATGAATAATGCAAAAATATGTAAATATATTTCTTAAGCGCCTATAAAAGGAATAATAAGATCACATTAATCATCAGCGTGTTTTGTTTGCAAAGCTGTCAGTAATATTGTTCGAGAGTTCATTCATTTGAGATTAGAGATAGTATCGCTTAACATCATATGTATAACGCATAACAAGAAACAACAAATATATACAGACTTTTTTATCTGATTATTCTCTGATAATAATAATAATTTACTCTAATTTTCTGCTAAATAATTTCATTATCTCTCGACGTTGTATAAATTCTACCTACAGAATTTCGTAACTCCATCGCGAATTCAAATAGCTTCTTTTTTTGTTTTTTCATTTACGCGAAAGCAACAGGTTCCCCTTCTCCGAACTTGAAAAGTTTCCGGCAGCAGGGTGCGTAACGGGTCAACGAACCCCGACCTCCGTCGCACTCTCCTGACTTTAAAAGCGTCGCTCTTTTCTCCGGACTAGATGGAAAGCCGTGATAAATAGCAAATAATAATTAAACGCGCGTGGAGAAAAGAGCCCGAGAGTAAGATCACCCCGAAAAAAGAGGAGATCGCTGAACGAGAAAACCCTTTGTTTTTCTCCGCACGTGCCGCTTCGAGGGAGCCAAAGCTTATCTAGTGTACGGAAAGAAGGGGGGCCGAGGAAGGAGGACAGAAGAGGAAAGAAGAATGCCACCTCGATGCGGGTTCCACGCTTTGCGCGCACGACCCCCGTGTACCGTGACTTCCGGTCCGAGAGCACGCGGCGGCACCTATAGGACACCGCGGACTAGAAAGCATTTCCATGTGATCCCCGTGGGTGCCGTGCCATCCCACATCCGTCCCCCCCATTGGCCACCGAGACAACAAGAAAGATATATGTATATATAATAGAATACGACTCCATTTTCTTAATCTATAGAGCGACAAGCATTTTGCTTACCGTATGCAAATATTTCGCATTTTTCTCTTGTCTTTTACGACTTCTTGTATTAATTAAATATGTTTATTACTACAGAGTTTTGAAAGAAAACATATTTGTTTATAAAAAAAATCTTGAGAGAACAAAAGAGAGGCTCGCGATAAATGTAGAAATTATGGAGAACGCGTCATATACGAGAAAAAAATATTTAGTAATATGTATATAAAAGTGTAAATATACATTTATCATTGCTTATTACTATTGATGAAATATATCTGTGAAGTGCAAGCTTAAGGAATATTTTAAATGACAGAAAAGTTTATTTTTATCGATTGGAATAATACCAATTATTAACATAATTCATATAAAAAAATTAAGCATTCGATTTTTGTTGTTATTGATATTCTCAAGATATATGCAAATACCTTCTTTCTTTTTTCATATACATGTATTTAAATTTAAAATAATAGTATATTTAATATAAAAAAGATTATATACTATAATTAAATACTAATATAAATAACAGAATATTGTCGTTCTTTAGATTGAGAAAATGGGACACGCGTTGTGCGTGTGTCTGACGTGAGAGCATGAGCTGCGTACTTTGTCATGTCGTATCCGCCCGCATGGCTTCCACCTTGGTGAGATGGCTGAATACCGCGCGATTACGGAATCGTAGAAAGATAATCGCAGGAATGTGGGGGTGGAAAGAAGCTCGATAATTCTTCTCGTGCCTTGGAATACAAGAATACGTTGTTCGCAGGTGTGCGACAATTGACAAATTGAATACGAAGAGGATAAATTGTGAAAAAGATACAGACATCATGGACACACGATATTATACATTTATAAATGACTCATTTTCATTCAAAAAGAGAATGCCAGAGATATCTTGAAAATAGATTCTTTAATATATACGTTTATATATGAAAAAAGCTGCGTGTTTTACAACTAGTATGAGATTAATAATAAGATGAGATTGTAACAGAACTTATATGTCAATCTTTTGTGTGTCATTTAAGAGAGAGAAGTAAAAATCTTGGAGTAAGCTTTTTGTAAGGACTGACTGATTTACGTGTTCAGAATTTAACCTCTTCATTTGAATGAGATATCTGAGGCTGTCCATTGTGAATCAGTACTACTGTCTACTCTAGATCTTATCTCCCCTACATTTCATCCTTACTTTCAACCTGGTCGCGTTCTTATGACGTTACGCAAAAGGCACGTAATGATTCAGAACATCGGAAAGTCTATATATATATAGTAGTAAGACTTTAATATAACAAACGATAAGTGGCTCTCTGTCACAAATTAAAAATGCTTAAAAATTTCTTTAATTCTCTAATATTCTCTAATATTGTTTAAGTCAGTAAAAAAGTCAGATAAATTAATTATAAATAAATATAATCTATACGTAATAAATATATAAATAAGATTCAATTTTTTTTTTAATTTTTTTTTAGAAACTAATTCTCGGCCCCAAACTTACGTAATGAATTGCATTCGAGTCGCGCTGTCGATTTCGTTGATTTCGCGTTGAATTTCCAATTTCTCTAAACGTAAATCACTGTTTGGAAACCGCCTGGCATCGCGGACGAGCAGCGAAGCATTGAAGGGATTTCGTCACAAAGGCAACGCGCATAACTGCGACGCGGCTTTCCGGATGTGTAATGCGACCGACACGGCGTGGCTCTCACCTTATTGTGCGCGAGTCGCGCGCGTGGGAAGTGTTTCGCCGATATAACGACTGAAATTTGTTCAAATCCCGGTGCGCACATCTCGCCGGAGAACAGAAAGAAAGAGAGAGAGAGAGAGAGAGGAGAGGCCGTTCAAGCACCCGACGACCCGATTACTTTTGCAACGCGCTTGCAGCGGTTCGCGTATCAATTCGCAGAGAGTAACTTTCTAAACTACACAGTCGTGCCCTTTCTCAGCGGGTCTATATCGATAATAATATCGTGGCTGCATCAATCCTCCAACGATCTGAGGACATTGCATTTCGATACGAAAATCACAATAATTTTGATACAATTGTCATTACTAGGGCGCATTCTATAATTTATATTTATAGAATGAATAGAATAGAGAATGTTTAAATACGATTATTTTAATGTTAATAGAGCACCCGGTAAGTCAACAATAAAAAATAGAGCTATAATAGCTTGCCTAAATGACACCGACTACAAAGGGGTTTCTAATTTATCTTTTTTATATTTACAAATAGTAAAAATTTTTTTAAGAATTGAGGAAGAGAGAAAATAGTTTACATCTTTATGGTGTCATAATTAAAAAATATATTATATTGTGAATAATATTTAAAATATATAATCTTTTTGGAAAAACGATGGCAATCGCTTTAGATAATTTTATCTTATTATAACTTATAATTATCTTTGTATAAACAATCTATATGTTTGAAATAGAAAAAAAACTCTTTTATATAGAATCCTTTTCCTTTTTACTTGCTATTATTTTACATATAAATTTCAACCGGAGTGACTCTATATCCATCCCTATTGAACTTACTTGGAAAGAAAGATTTATCTTGAAAAAGAAAATCTTTCTCTTCTGCGAACGAGTTTTCTGTGAGTGAGTCTTCAATTGTCATACTTCCGCTCTTCTCACAGAAGAGAAGAGACTTGTATCCTTTTTTCCATGTACCTTACTTTTACATTTCATTATATCTCTCCGGCCCTTTATCCACGCTTTGCGCTTATTCACTTTGTCTCGCAACTTACTTAGCAACGCTGCATCCGCAACTCCATTACGGCTGAGCTTCGCTCAGACACGGATTAATCCGAAGAGTGACTTTCTCTAAACGCGGTCGTGCCCTTTCTCAACGTATACCTAGATCAAAGACGATAGAGATTTCGTACAGTTGTATTCTAACCGACGACGAAGGTTGCCCATCACGCGATTGTGTATTACTCGCCGCTATTGTTATTAATTATTTCCCTTGCGCGCGGAGAACAAAAGCGTCAGCTCGCTATTGTTGCAAGACCGCGGATACGATGGTGAATTGCTTCTGGAACGTGGCATTAACGAATGTAAACGGAAGGATCGCGGAACTATGCTGCGCTACAGGGTGGCGATTAATAAACTATAAACCGACTGCATTTATCCGCAACTATTAAGAATAAATAGATGATAATAATGGATTTTAATGCGTAACAAAATATCAATATTTCATTCTTATATATTTTACATAAAAAGAAATAACAAAATATTCACACTATAAAAAAATTTATATAAATTTCAAATAAATTACTTTTGATAGAAACACAAAATAAAAGAAAAAATTAGTTATCTTATCGAAAGGTTAATTGTCTCTTTTGTTTAATATTGCGTTGTTGCAACAACACGTGATCAGAAGGAGACCAGAATTTTCCGCTTTCACGTGTCGCACGTAACGTCCTATTCTTCCGAAGCGTTCCGTAGGCAATTCGACGCGGGGCTTAATTCATCGCGTGTCTGCGCGCTTACGTGAATGCTCGTTTCGCGATACCGTTGCGCGAATCATCATTGTGAAAATCCGTTTACTCTATACGCGATGTCATTTTGTAACTTGACCGTCATAATTTTTTTTCGAGGCGAGAGCGATGCTTTTATCTTTACTGAATGTTCGGTCTGTCGCTGTTAGAAAGTCTTACTATCTCCGCAGAAAGAGTAAATTTCTTTAATATTATTAACTTTCAATGTTCTTAATTAAAGGAAATATTACAATAATTGTGATTACGGCATTTAAGATCGCCACAATTTATATTATTGTTTATTAATTATAGAATTACAAAACAATCCGATTTTGGATATTTGGTCTTTAATGGAAAATTTTAACGTATAGCAAAAAGAGAGAAATCACATTCAATAAAATGAATAGATCTTCAATGAATATTCCGAGTCCGCTTCAGAGCGGCAAACGGCCACTCGAAAGACCTACTCTCTAGAATCCTCGAACTTGCACTTCTGCTAATGACCTGAAAGGCAAAGCGAATGTAATGCATTCGCGGTTGTCAAAGAGGATTTGCATTTCCATTATCAGCTCGTTATGCACTTCGATCGACAAGGAGATTTTGTGTCGCGCGTCATCGTCGCTAAGATGTTATACGCTCATCGAACGAGTCTGAATCAAAACAGTTTGCACGCTCGTTAAGTCGGGCCTATGTAAACACTTCCGGCACGAAAGCGCGTTTTCCTGTCGACGCATTCGAGTCTATTCTTCTGCGAATTTTTACATATGATATACGAGTCGCACTAGCGATACGAGTTTGCTCGTCGTGAGAAACCACCGCGCCACGCAGAGCCAGATGAGATTTTACACAAATAAGAAAAAGATAGAAATACTTATAAAAATATTGCAGTCTTCGACAGAAAGTCGAGAAACTTGGCAAATCGATTGAGACATTCATTTCTTTTCAATTAAAAAATTAGATAAAACATCAAATTTCTAAAGTTATTTACCGCAAAATATAATTTCTTCATTTTTTAATTATCACATGTTGCGTTGGAGTATTGCAAATTTTTCTATAAATTACTCTCACCATTAGAAACCACAAAAAAGTTTTTTTTATAAAACAACGTTATGTAATTTTCATAAAAAATCGTAGTATAATTTCCTTCTCGTCCACCAAAGTCAAACTCAAATATGATCGAAAGAACTTTCTGTATAAAAAAAATATAGAAATATGAAAAGCAATCTCTTACCTCGTGAGAAAGCTGGATAATCCACGATCCATGTTCGGTGCATAATGATATTCCTCAAGACTGGTGGATCTATCGATACTGGGAAGCCCATCGGTAAAAGCTGCGTTCAGCCTCGTCCCTTCCGTCCATGATTTACGATGCGGCTCACGGAAAAAGCGTTTTTTGCTTCCGCACTCAAACGCGATGTCCTCCTGACCGCGTCTCTTAAGAACGATTCTCGTGTGCGGCTCCAAGTCGACGGAGACGGATCTGTTCTCGGCCGGATCGTCCTCGTGAGACTTTCTCGAATTCGGCGAGGACTCGAAGGCCGGATTGTCCAGCTGGACATCGTACTCGTTCGGCATGACGACGTCCATCCTCTCGTCCGTGTCACTTCCACCGGTCGTTTCCTCGCTCGAGGTCCTGGACGACGACTCGAAAGGGTAATTGACCGTGTCCTCTTTCTCGGTCAAGAGACGCATAGAGTATAGCGAGCGATTCGTATTAATATTCTCGTTCTTTAGGCGACCCGAACTCGTTTCCGCTCGGTCCTCATTGTCATCGTGCTCGGCGAGGAAATCGAAGGCGTTATTTATCTCCCGCGCCTCATACGTCTCGTCCTCGTGCTTCGCCATCGAACGCTTCGTCTTCTCATAGTCCAAGATCGTCGAGTGATCCACTGTGTCTTGTTGGGTCTCCTCGTTGATGCCCGAGCAAGTTCTATGTATCACCGGCTCAAGATTCTTGGTGATGTCGCGAATCCGCTTAATTGTGTCCGACGACACTACATCGATCCTCTTGCGAATCGGTACCACCTGATCGTGACCCAAGGTCACTAGAATATCACCCTTGTCGATGCTGTCCAGCACTAGTTCCTGCCGCCTGGTGAGGAAGAGCTTCTGCTCCAGTTTCGGAGGGCACACGTCGAGTAAATGCTCTTGTTCCTCGGCTGTCGCATCGTCCACTGGGACACGTGGCACACATGCATCATTTCCGAGATCGATCAGATCACCGTCTTCATTAGAAGCCATCTTGCGACGACTTATATCTGCAATGATAAAAGCACTTCTGTTAATTACAATATTAAACGAGTTATATAGCGTTCACAAAAGAACAGAAATATCTTCCTGGCCTTTAAACATTTTACAAATTTGTTTTGACAATTCTAGATAAAAAAAAAAAATACTCATTTAAATGTCTCAAATATTTTCCATACGTTTTATACTATCTATTAAAGATTGTGCGCCCTCTCCTTCCCGTATATTTAACATATATATTATATTATAACATATACAGATACATATTATTTCTATGTGAAAATATTCGCAATGTAAATTTAGTACTTAAAAAGAATATACACGTGTCGTTGAATCACGCGATATTTATGTTGACCACCGTGGTAATATCGGTGATTACACTTCGAGATTCATTTGAAATGAGATTAACTGGGTAAAGTGTGTCGGCAGTTTTTCATTGTAACCTTATGAACCTGTCCTCGATTCCCTCGCAACTGACCCATGCAAGAAATCTCTAATCAGAGAGCGGTCCTCACCATCA